CCCACCACCATCTGACACCAATATGTTTTCAGCACCATATTCCATCCCAGCAATATATTTCATTTAGTCCCCCATCCTACCTCAATACTTGGCATTACCTGACCCAACTCCCCCCTTTCCTAGCACTGTCCTATCCTCTCATTAATAAAAGTTCAGAAACTTTTGCAAGAGGCTCAGTCATTTGTACCAGTGAATAATTTATATATTTTCCATCCATACTCCATGAATGTACCTTAGATAAGTACTTTCCACTAGTACATATTATACCTGTCCAATAATAAACAACAAAAAAGTTACATTTTTTTTTAATAATTACTGGATCAGCAAGCTAACAAATAACATTTACAGTTGTACATTTTCAAAACAAATTACATGTACAAATAGCAATATTGATTATGGTAAAAAAAAAAGTATTAACATAAAATTGGTTACATTTAAAATACATGCAACAATAATGTCAGATCTAAATTTTCTTGTGTCTGTTAAAAAATGTATTTCTAAAAATTACTGTCACTTTTCAAGATGAAATATTTGTATTGCTCCTTTAATCCTCTGTTTTGTAGAATGAAAGTGTTTTGTTTTCTGTCATACTCAATAATGATATACAATAGGAAATCAAAATAGACTGAATCTCACTTGGGCCAGAAAAGAAGGATGGGGGGATTCCGCTCTCTGGGTGAAGGGCTCCTAGTGGCCAGGCATCGGGGAGTTGGGTTACCCTGCTAGAATGTAATGTAGGGGGAGGACGGAGGAGACGGATGGAAATTAAATAAACAGGCAATCCAGAGGGGTCACCGGTATCACATGAGATGGATCTGCCGAGAGATGGGAAAATTAGAGAAAAAGGGAGATGGAAAACTGAATTATACTGAGGACAGAGGTGAAGGAATTGCTGTAGATGGGAGGACAGCAACAACATAATAAACAAGAATAAAAACAATTATTATTATTGATCATAAAAATAATCATATTAATAATAATAAAATATTGGTGTCTTTGGAAGGTTTCTTCCTTTAGAGTACAAAGCTAAGAAAATAATATTAAGAAGTTTATTGTCATTGCTTAAACCTTTAAATAAATATTGTAATTACAATATTAACTATAGTGGGGTACAGTAGTATTAAGTCACTAATAGTCTATACATACTTTACATATATGTACTATATCCAGTGTTGTATGTATAGAATATATAAAGGATTTTATATAGTATAAATCCAGTGTTGTGTATTTGGCATCTATCAGCGGTTTATATATAGTATAGATCCAGTGTTGTGTATTTGGCATCTATCAGGGGTTTATATATAGTATAGATCCAGTGTTGTGTATTTGGCATCTATCAGGGGTTTTATATATAGTTAGATCCAGTGTTGTGTATTTGGCATCTATCAGCGGTTTATATATAGTATAGATCCAGTGTTGTGTATTTGGCATCTATCAGCGGTTTATATATAGTATAGATCCAGTGTTGTGTATTCGGCATCTATCAGAGGTTTATATAGTATAGTATCCAGTGTTGTGTATTTGATCAGAGGTTTATATATAGTATAGATCCAGTGTTGTGTATTTGGCATCTATCAGGGTTTATATATAGTATAGATCCAGTGTTGTGTATTTGGCATCTATCAGCGGTTTATATATAGTATAGATCCAGTGTTGTGTATTTGTCATCTATCAGGGGTTTATATATAGTATAGATCCATTTGGCATCTATCAGCGGTTTATATATAGTGTCCAGTGTTGTGTATTCGGCATCTAGCAGGGGTCCAGTGTTGTGTATTTGGCATCTAGCAGCGGTTTATATATAGTATAGATCCAGTGTTGTGTATTTGGCATCTATCAGCGGTTTATATATAGTATAGGGGTTTATATATAGTATAGTATAGATCCAGTGTTGTGTATTTTGGCATCTATCAGGGTTTATATATAGTATAGATCCAGTGTTGTGTATTTGGCATCTATCAGGGGTTTATATATAGTATAGATCCAGTGTTGTGTATTTGTCATCTATCAGGGGTTTATATATAGTATAGATCCAGTGTTGTGTATTTGTCATCTATCAGCGTGTTTATTTGGCATCTATATAGTATAGATCCAGTGTTGTGTATTTGGCATCTATCAGCAGGATAGTATAGATCCAGTGTTGTATTTGATCTATCAGTGTTTATATATAGTATAGTATTTGTGTATTTGGCATCTATCAGCGGTTTATATATAGTATAGATCCAGTGTTGTGTATTTGGCATCTATCAGAGGTTTATTTGTATAGATCAGTGTTGTGTATTTGGCATCTATCAGGGGTTTATATATAGTATAGATCCAGTGTTGTGTATTTGGCATCTATCAGGGGTTTATATATAGTATAGATCCAGTGTTGTGTATTTGGCATCTATCAGGGGTTTATATATAGTATAGATCTAGTGTTGTGTATTTGGCATCTATTTATATATAGTATAGATCCAGTGTTGTGTATTTGGCATCTATCAGGGTTTATATATAGTATATCCAGTGTTGTGTATTTGGCATTTGGCATCTATCAGTGGTTTATATATATAGTATAGATCCAGTGTTGTGTATTTGGCATCTATCAGTGTATGATCCAGTGTTGTGTATTTGGCATCTATCAGGGTGTATTTGGCATTATATATAGTATAGATCCAGTGTTGTGTATTTGGCATCTATCAGCGGTTTATATATAGTATAGATCCAGTGTTGTGTATTTGGCATCTATCAGCGGTTTATATATAGTATAGATCCAGTGTTGTGTATTTGGCATCTATCAGGGGTTTTATATATAGTATAGATCCAGTGTTTATATGTATTTGGCATCTATCAGCGGTTTATATATAGTATAGATCCAGTATTTGGCATCTATCAGCGGTTTATATATAGTATAGATCCAGGGCATCTATCAGCTGGTTTATTATATTTATATATAGTATAGTCCAGTTTGTGTATACTATCAGCATATTCATATAGTTTAGATCCCGTAGCATACTGTATATCCAGGATTTATTATTTATTTGTGTATGCATATTCATAGTGTATATATATAGTATATCAGGGTTTTATTATATCAGGGAGAGTATATATCCAGTGTAATGCATATAGTATATAATAGGGATTTATAAATAGTTTATATCCAGTAGTGTATGTGTGTATAGTATGTATCCAGCATTGTATATATAGTATATATTAAGAATTTATATATAGTATATATCCAGTGTTGTGCATATAAAATATATATACATAGTGGCGTACATAGTATATATTAAGGATTTATATATATATAGTAATTATCCAGTGTTACAGTTACGTATATATAGTATATAATAAGGACTTACATATTGTATTTATACAGTGTCATGTATGTAATATACCAGGGGCGTATTTACCACAAGGCAAACAAGGCATTTGCCTAGGGCGGCATTTTTCAGGGTGGCAGCCCCCCTGGAAGAAGGGATGGAAGAGGGGACACATGCAGTATGGGGACCAGATGGGGTCTGAGAGAGGCTGCGGGCTGCTTGACTCTCGTTCCCAGGGATGTCCAGAGCTGTGAAGGTGAATGTCTTTCTCTCTCTCACCGGGAGGAGGCAGGGGTGTTTTTGGTCAATGTCAGGGGCTCCCTCCATGGGACGGAGGCGGAGGGGGGGGGGGGTGTTTGGTTGCTGTCAGGCCATCTCCCGGGGGGGGGGGGGGATGGATTTTGTGTTGCCTAGGGCAGCACAAAACCTAAATACACCACTGTAATATACAGTGTTGTGTATATAATATATATCAGGGTTTATATATATCCAGTGTTGAGTATATATTTTATATCAGGGGTTTGTAGTATATATCAAATGATAAGCATATAGTATATTTAGAGGGTTTATTGATAGTATATATCCAGTGTTTAGTATAATAATAGAATTTATATCAGGGGTTTATTCTGTATAAACTATATATCCAGTTGTGAACATATAAGGGACACTTATATATAGTATAAGTGTCTGGTGCTGAGTAGAGATGAGCGGATCTGCCCAGATTTGGTTCTTGGGTGGGTGGTTTCGGCGAATCCAACTTAAAGTCTACGAATCCTGAACTTGGCATTGAACCCCAGTGAAGTCTATTAGAGGCAATTCTTGCTAGTAAGTTTTGGAAAGTTTTAAGGCCAATAGGCAAACAACTGTCACATAAAAGGCCTGAGAAGCTGGACACCATGGGGTCTCTTCATACAGCTTCAACAGCAACATTGAAATTATATAAACCCTTAATAAATTGCTTGGGAATGCCTTAAAGCTGTACATTGTATTACAGAACATTACAATTTTCACAGACAGTCTCAGTGACAGCATACAATGGCAGTGCATATTTGGCTGTAGAATTGATTTTTGTTTCTTTTACAGTTAGCTTGGCTTACATACAGCAGCATCCCAATCTGATTAAGTTTGAATGTAATACTTAAAATGATAAAAAAAAAAACAGGAAAAAAAGTGCTTCCTTTAATATTCCAACCAGATCCATATTGAGGCATACAGCCTGGGAGACTAGGAAGGAGAGGCCAGTGAGCATGTGTTTCCCTCCTTGCAAAGTACCCTGTAGTGTGGGGCAACAGCACAACAATGGAGTCATCACTCTGCACTCTCCCTTATAAGCATGCTCAGATTGTTGATTGACAACAAAATAGAAGTGGTTAGCATAATGATTCTCTGGCTGCAAATCATTTTCTTTGATGATCTCTTTTTCCCTTTGTATTTTATATCTTTGCTTTTTCTTTCTGCTCATTACATGAACTCCAGAAAAATACTCTTGCCATGGGGTCCCCCTGCCCTGCAAGGGTCACATGCTCATTAAGTATAAGGGTATTAGAGAAGGTGGTATTACTCCCTGATTTGGCCGGCTTCAGTGCTGTCACCTCTGGGCCATGGGTGGTCTTGGTGTCATCTTGTACAATGCAGGGCTATTAAACCTGCATTGTATATGGAGGGGGTGAAACTTCCAACCACGTCTCAGAGCACATTATGCATCAGCACTGGACTGGTTGCATGGATCAAGGAAGCCTACTGGAGCCAAGAATAAGGTAAGTATTACTTCTTGTAGACTTAAGTATTTAACTTTTGCAGTGTTGAGACCCCTCTGATTTGTCCAGCTTCAGCGCTGTCAACTTTCTTGTCTGTAGATGGTCTTGGTGTCATCTTTACTACGCAGGGCTATTATCCCTACATTGTACATGGAGGAGGTGAACTTGCAACCACGGCTGAGACCACTTTAGGCCCCGTTCACATATCATGTAGCGGGAACGTGACATCCAGCTCACAATTTTAAAAGTGTAATTCACACGCATTGCAGTTTGAATGGGCTGTCTGCCCTATGTGTATTTGTCATGCTAAAGAAGATCAGGGATCAAATTTTGGCCCTGAATCCGCCACATTTTTAAACTAGCATTTTTGGAGTCTGCCCGAGATTTCTATTTGCCCAAATATGAATAGGATCATAGAGAGTCATCAGCACTGGACTGGTTGCATGGATTGAGTCAAGAATAAAGTAAACATTACTTCTTCTAGACTTGAGCATTTAACCTTTGCAGCATTGGGGCCCCACTGCAAGCGTAAAAATTGGAATAACACATGCTAAGCTTCTGTGAACTTGCATTTCGAGTGATAAAAGTGATGTTTCATGTTCACTATTCTCAATCTGCTTCCTTCCTTTTGCAGGGTTTGCCTTTCCTGACTGGGCCTATAAGCCAGAATCCAGCCCGGGTTCCAGACAGATCCAGCTCTGGCACTTCATTCTAGAGCTTCTTCAGAAAGAAGAGTACCATGATGTCATTGCCTGGCAGGGTGACTACGGAGAATTCGTCATTAAGGACCCTGATGAGGTGGCGAGGCTATGGGGCATCCGCAAGTGCAAACCGCACATGAACTACGACAAGCTGAGCCGGGCACTGAGGTAATAAACAGAACATAGAATACTTTGGAAACTGCATTAAAAGAATTTAACTCATACATACATCCAGGCTCGGCATGTTTTAGGTCAAGTGGTAGGTTGGATCATTAAAGGGTACTTGTCTGTTAACTTTCACAGATGAAGCTTGAATCCAATGGTGAAGGCCGCCATTTTCTGACTCCCAGAAGAAGTGCTAGTTTCGGGGCAGCCTTTCAGGCTGGAACTAGTACCACTTCCAAGAATGGGCCATTGGCAGCTTCCAGAAATGCAAACGGATGCAGCTGCTGACAAGGGATTGGCTAACAACAATGCTACTTCCTAATCACTGGCTCTCCAGCTTTGCCTTGATGGCAATGGTTTGCCATTGGGGAGACTCTGCCTCTACTGCCTGACCCAGAAACACTCTGTCATACCCACTGGGAATCATACAAATGGAAACTGAAGCACCACACCACTATTAAAAGGTCCAGATATGATTTTACACCAGAGAAAGTCAAGGGGCAATCCAAAGACTACCTAATACATCTCAGGGGTCCAAAAAAAAACCCTTCATCAAGGTTAAAAAAAATAAGGACATCTCCATATTAATACACTACCCATACAATATCACCTCCTTGGGTTCATAGTTAAAACACCTAATAGCCAATAGTGTTGGATGTAGAAAAATTAACATTAGATAACATTGAATAGATAATCAATATACAAGAACCTCAAAGTAAAAATAATAAAAATAATTTTTATTTTTTTTTATTTTACTTTTATTATTACTGTTTTTTTTAAACCCAATTGATGAACTGAAATGGTGTCTTTTAGTATTCAGATTCTCACATGTGTCCAAGGTTCTTGTCTATTGATTATCTATCTGACATTAGTTTTTATACATCCAATACTATTGGCTGTTAGGTATTTGGTTTAAGCTATGACTTTGAGGAGAGAATATTGTATGTACAGTATATTGTATTAATATATCTTTATGTTTGTTTTTTTTTCTTCCGATGAAGGGGGCTTTTTGAACTCCCAAAACGCCTGGAATACTTTTTGGATTGTTCCCTTGACTTATATTGGCATATAGTCATATCTGGACCTTGTAGCAGTGTTGCGGTGCTTTAGTTTTCAGTTATATAGTTCACAGTGGCTCAGGGTATGGTAGATTTTTTGGGGTAAGGCAGTAGAGGCAAAGTCTCCCTAATGGCAAATCATGGCAAAGCTGGAGAGCCGATTATTAGGAGGGAGCATGGTGAGTAACCAATATACAATATAGCAGCAGCGTCATTCTGTTTGAGTTTCTCCATATTATTGTATTATTATGGAGATGTTTTTCTAGGCCTGAAAAAGGGGTCAGTTTTGGAACCCAGAAATGTGTTGGCTACTCTTTGTATTGTTCCCCTGACTTTTATTGGAATAAAGTCATATCTGGACCTTTTAGCAGTGGCATGGTGCTGCAGTTTCAATGGTTGTTACATTACACCACAAGCCAATGAGACTGTGGAGATAATCTGGGGTGTAGAAGCCACCTATCCAGGAACCAGAGTAATGATATTAACATCAATACTTTAAGATAGGAATATCAATAAAATAAACTTACAGATCCAGCACGATTTTTCTACTTTCCTCCACCGGGCTTCAAGGGGGCAGTAAGTAAGGTAAAATCTTCCCAGTGGAGACGCATTTATATGGGGAGAGAGCAGCACCCAACATCCAGAGTAATACCACATTCGATGGGAAGATTTATTGAAAGTAAAAAAATGTACAAGTCAAGCCAACGCATTTCGGGGGAACAGTCTCGCCCTTCTTCACGGCTTTTCTTACATGTGAACGGAGGTGGGTGGGCTCCACGGAGGTACCTGAGCCTCTTATGCAACTTAATGTTGGCTTGATTGATGCAGAGACATCATTCAGGCTGGTATTAGGTCTCATAAGAGGCTCAGGTACCTCCGCTGGGCCCTCCCACCTCCATTCACACATACAAAAAGCCCTGAAGAAGGCGGAGGCTTTTCCCCCAAAACACATTGGCTCGACTTGTACATTTTGTACTTTCAATAAGAGATTGTTATCCTCCCATCGAATAAGGTATTACTCTGAATATTGGGTCCTCCTCTCCCCCATATAAATATTCTTGATACTGAAGCGACAGCACAGTCATACCAGTAAGGTAGCAGCCCAGACCTCCAAGTGGAATCAAACACCAGGACTTACCCAGGAAACCACCAAATACTAAGAACAACCCAATCAGTCCAGTTCCAACAAACCACAGTGGAGACACAGACAGCAAAAAAAAGACGTTCTAGCCCTTCCCTATTCTATCCAATACATAAGTACCTAAAAAGAGAAATGTCCATATTGACCTATAGCAGCCAAGCCGACGCTGGCAAATGACTGTCACATAATAAAAGCCTGTACGTGGTAGGTGGCTGCGGGCAGTGCGTTTTTATTCCAAGCGCTGTGACAAATCTGATCCAACATTCTGCGGATGGTCTCTCTGTGTGACAGATCTAATGGGACTATCACTGTAACGGAGACATAAAGGCGTCAATATCTTGGCCAGCTTGTCCTTTAGTCAAAAAGCTGCCAGGCAACCCTCAGGAGAGATACAAGGAGAGATATTGACACGAGAAAGAAACCAAGAGGAGCAGATTAACACACAATTATGGATTGCCTTCCACTCACTTAAACAGAATTAATGCATCATTAACTGTCCACATAGTCGTTCTCAGAGAACTGTACCGGGCTTATGAGAACACGATGGGAAGATCTTAGAGGGCAGGGCCGGTCCTATGTGTAAAGTAATGCACATCCTATTCCAGTCCTCCTGCAGTCCTGTATAAGAATGACAATATATTACACTATGCTATAGACCAGCCTTTTCAACCAGGGTGCCCAGGCATCCTGGGGTGCCTTGAGGTTTCTTCAGGGGTACCTTGGCAAAATGTCTACAAAATTGTCCAAAAATTGTATACAAGCCAGTGAGTGGACAGGCCTGTCTTTTAGTTAATAAATCAATTCTAATATTGGGTGTCCTACAAGTGTGGATGTTGCTGCATTATAAAAATTATTAGAATAATTTCTCATATTTTAGAATGGGGTGCCTCAAGACTGTCCATAATTTTACAGGGTGCCTCGGGACTGTCCATACTTTTTAAAGGGTGCCTTGACTGAAAAAAGGTTGGGAAACACTGCTATAGACTCTGTGCCATATCTCCAGCACTACCTCTCTCTGTTTCCCCATAAGACCCCATCCAGACTACTGCATTGCAGTAGCGCTCATTATAATGCAAGTTTTAACATACATTATCGAAAAGTAAATCAACACGTGCCTCTAAGTGTGGGCTGTTGCTGTGCTGTTCACTGTATAGCAGTCGAAGCCTGAGTAGAAAAGCCTTTCTCCTGCCAGCATATTGGAGAGAATGGCCTTTGTTGTGTGGAAGCAGTGGTCTTTCTGCAGAGGTCCAACATACCTCCTGTGGAGTCAGAGTTAACGCTTAAACCAGGGGTCTCAAAACTTTCTAAGCAAAGGACCAGTTTACTGCCCTGTATGATTTAGGAGGGTCGGACAATTCCACAATGTCTGTGGGAGTAAACATGTCTTAGACTTAGTGGTCAGTGAGAGTAAAAAAAACTACATGTAGTCAGTAGGAGGAGGAATAGTGCCCTGTCATTGTATCATTGGGAGGAATAGTGCCCTGTCATTGGTATCATGGGAGGAATAGTGTCCTGTCATTGGTATCATTGGAAGGAATAGTGTCCTGTCATTGGTATCATTGGGAGGAATAGTGCCCTGTCATTGGGAGGAATAGTGCCCTGTCATTGGTATCATTGGGAGGAATAGTGCCCCGTCATTGGTATCATTGGGAGGAATAGTGCCCCGTCATTGGTATCATTGGGAGGAATAGTGCCCCGTCATTGGTATCATTGGGAGGAATAGTGTCCTGTCATTGGTATCATTGGGAGGAATAGTGCCCGTCATTGGTATCATTGGGAGGAATAGTGCCCCGTCATTGGTATCATTGGGAGGAATAGTGCCCCGTCATTGGTATCATTGGAAGGAAAAGTGCCCCGTCATTGGTATCATTGGGAGGAATAGTGCCCCGTTATTGGCATAATTGGGAGGAATAGTGTCCTGTCATTGAAAGGAATAGTGCCCTGTCATTGGTATCATTGGAAGGAATAGTGTCCTGTCATTGGTATTATTGGAAGGAATAGAGCCCTGTCATTGGTATCATTGGAAGGAATAGTGTCCTGTCATTGGAAGGAATAGTGCCCTGTCATTGGTATCTTTGGAAGGAATAGTGTCCTGTCATTGGAAGGAATAGTGCCCTGTCATTGGTATCATTGGAAGGAATAGTGCCCTGTCATTGGTATCATTGAGAGGAATAGTGCCCTGTCATTGGTATCATTGGAAGGAATAGTGTCCTGTCATTGGAAGGAATAGTGCCCTGTCATTGGTATCATTGGAAGGAATAGTGCCCTGTCATTGGTATCAGTGGGAGGAATAGTGTCCCATTGTTATTTTCAGTGGGAGGAGGAATAGTGCCCTGTCATTGGTATCAGTGGAAATCAGTGGTATCAGTTAGTGAAGTGGAAGGAATACTGCCCCACTCTGTAGGGGGTGTGTTGGACCTCTTCAGAGAGACCACTGCTTCCACACACAGAACAGGGTCCTTTTCTACAGCATACACGCTTTTCTAGTCCAGCTGTTTTCTAAATAAAGCAAACTGTAAGACTGCGCACATCTCTTGTATTGTTGCAACTGGAATGCATTCAGCTGAATTAACCCCTTGCCATCAGCCCTTTAAACAGGAGGCCAGCAGGTGGGGCTTATGATTATACGCTCACTGTGATTGGCCTTCAGCGGTGATATATTCAGGTGCTCCACCTACTGGCTCTCAAATGTTAGTACGTGACAGTTTGTCACTTTTCTGGGGGTGCCAATTGAGCGTGCCTGTAGAACACTATATCAATGCATATATACAGGACAGTTCTGTGTTAAAGCCCACCTCCGCACT